AGCAATGCACCAGCACCCTCCATTGAAGATCCAGGGCAGTTCCCCTCCTTGGGTGGCAAGTGAAGTTACTAGCACTTGGTGTTCCGGATGTCTTGAAGGATATGATTATCAACAGGAACCACGGCTTCCTGTATTAAGAAAACCATATTTAAATTGAAGTTTCTTTTCTTGGGTGTAAATTTTAGATACTTAAACCATGGGTGTGTACGCCTGTGGTATCCTACTGTGGTTGACTTGCATGCATACCTTTTTTTTTTTTTTTTTCTTTTTCATATTTTGTTTCTCCTTTTTGGGTTAAATTAGGTGAAATGAGTCTATTTTGTCAGTGGAACTGGGTAGTAGTATCATCATTTTTGGTTGAGTAGGTGGAGATTTTTGTTTTAGCCTCCCATTCTCTATTTTCTTCCGTGTCGTATTTTCTAGAGTGACTTATTTTGGTAGATCAATGCCCCCCTCTGGAAGAATGGATGAGTCTTATAAAGGCTTTTTTTTGGCCTGCCTGCCTTGTCCTTTAGCTTGATTAGTGTTAAGACTGAAATTCTGAAATTATAAGTGAAGATGGAAGTTTGGAAGTTAGTAGGACAAGGTTTCCACATCCTATTAAAACTGAATTCGTCTCCATTGACAATAGTTTAACCATGTTGGAGGCTGTCAGGTCTATAGTAATTGTTTATTCCATGTTAAATGATCTGTAGGGTAGTCAGAACAGCAAGTGAGTTAGGAGAGAATATAGCTGAAGCATTTTTCTTTTGGCTTTGTGAAAGGTTGATAAAGCAGATGACATGGAAGCTTGTGTTAGTAATTAATGCTTTCTTCCTGTCTTCTTATTTTACTTCTTCCAATCACACTGAGATGTGAGTGGCAAGAAAAAGCAGTTGTTATCTGCTTGTCCTTGCAATTACCCTGTTGATTCTTTTGGATGAAGTTGATTGTGGTGGAATTTGGAAAGTATTCTCGAGGACTTCCCAGAATTTGGACTGACAAATGAACACTGGAATAGAATTGTGAGTGTATGCTCTTTGTTTTTTTTTTTGTCAGTTCATTTGGAGTATATATATATATATTAACATGTAATCGGAATTTTAGGTATTGAGAAGACAAATAAAAAAACAAAGAGCATACAAGTGATATGCACGTTAAAAGTTGTGCTGGTGTTTCTTTCTCGTATGATTGTTCTGTGAAAAGCCAAATTAAAGTGAAAATCATTTTGTAATTCACGTGAAAACGTACGTGTCCACCTGGAAACCGAATAAAGAACTCGTGTATGAAATTTTAATTTAATAAAATATTTATTTATCAGTTTGGGGTTATTAAAACACATGTATGGCGCACGTGTATCATGTTATTGTTGGGACTTGGATGCATGATTGTGTAACTAACACGTGCCAAACCTTGTAAATTATTATTATTATAAAATGGGGGATATATGTATTTTATATTTGTATAGTATCGTATAATATTTGAAGACTTGAAATATATACACGTGTTGTTTTTATTATACATTTTTTCAATACTTCATTTTTTCTTTCTGTAAATTCTAAGAAACCACTTAGAATTTTGAAAGGTTAATGAAGAAGGTTGATCACAGGAGAAACTCTCTTACTAATTTCAAGATTTTTAAAGAAGTTTATTGTGTGTGCTCTTTAAGCAGAATTACTTTGATTTGAAATATACACACACACATATATGGACGCGATTATAATTTGCTCACATAATTGAGGAATTATTAAAAGGAAAAAACTACAGTTTAATTAATTTTGAAACTTTAGTCAAGCAACACATGCATAATATATATATATATATATATATATATATATATATATAATATAGCAGTAAAGGTGGCGGACGTACGCTTGACTTTGTGAGTTGCTTATAGAAACGAAGTCACAAACTGGGTTCTGTTGTTCCTTTATTGTTAGTTACTTCTATATCCAGCCGGCTTACTGCTGCCCATTTATGATTGATTTATTACTTGCATATATATATATATATATGTATATATTCAGTATTGTCCGACTTCCATATCCAGTCTGGTCTAATTCCATCCACTCTCATCACATATGCATAAAGGCGAGGATTCATCTGGTCGGTGAGAAAATCAGACTCGATGTTGACAGAATTTTCTTTCACATTTCTTTGCAGCCTCCATTGATATATATATATATATATATATATTTACACACACACACGCATATATTATGCATGAAAGATGTTTTAATTGAGGGGTAATTATTTTTTTTGAAAAAGTTATTATCTGCTTCTAAAGAAAAAAATATATAACTTTATATCCTAATGTGATCATATATATTTTAATATTGTACTTAAAAATCATCATGATCATAGACTTCATTGGTTATTTAAAGTTTTTATTTCACTAATAACAAGAGTGAATATTCGTTTACTAAACAAAATGGTATATTTAAAATGACATTTTAAAATAATTGGTATGTGATAATTTTTATTTTAAAAAAATTTATACAAATTTTTTGAAAATTAAAAATACCAAATAAATATCCGAAATACCTTGTAGATTTAAATTAGTAGCAAAAATATGAAGTATTCTCGGAAATGATCACTTCAATTTTGACTCTCTACTGTAGTCCAGTACGACAAGATCCACCTCAATGGATCTTCCTATTATGTTTGCTATCATTTTAAAGTTGGACTTATATAAGAGTAAATGGAAGGTTCATGATTCTATGTAAACTCACTAACTTCTCAAAGCACCTCTACTGCTCCTTATAACTATGTTTTTTTTATAAGTCTGATGCTCATGAATATATATTTTGCTTTAAGGGTACATCAATATTGAACTTCATTAATTTTTCACTGTATATGTATATATAATATACACTTGAACTTGACCCAAACGGCTCGAATTTGATCCAAAAATGGTTCCAACTCAGTTTAAAAACAGCTCAAAATCCACCTCAAAGTTAGATATTTATATATATATATATATATATGTTAAGATTGGCAAAACGGAAGATCATGGCAGCAACAAGCTAGCCTCTGATCTTTCATGTGTGTGTGTGTGTGTGTATATATATATATATGTGGGATGTATACACAAACACTTACTATTCATTGAAAAAAAAAAGAACTTATTACAGTCTACTTCTTGTACCGAAAACTAGCTAGTAAACATTACTGCTCCATAACAACTAGCTAGATCTAATACAGTGCACCACCCAAAAAAGAAATTTCTTTCTCATATATTTCTTTTTTGGGTAAAAATGAATGAAGGATTATATCTCTACTTCTTCTTAATAACATGAAGTTTGAATATTTCCTCTCCATTCTTTTTCATAATTTCTTGGGATTATCTAAAGTAGTATTATATATAATTATAGTATATGATGATCAGGATGGACTTGGCAAACAAGAAGGGATGCTGGAGATTGTATCTGCGTCAAGCTTGTTTAAAGTCAACGACTTTACTTTTTTTGTATACAACTGCTTCACATTTGACCTCTGTTCATTCACCAACTTCCATAGACTCCTCTTCGCATTTGCTCTGAACGGACAGTTTGATGCCAAATACCCATCTACCAAATGCAAATACGCCTCCAGATCATGACAGCAGGCGACGTCAGCATTAGGTTTCAAGTACGGCGACATCCTTGTATCCACCCTCAGCTCAGCTCCCACATGAGAGTATGCCAGTGGGTTGTTCCGTTCTATCACACTCCTGATCTTCGTCATCCTCTTCGCAGATTTCTCATCTTGATCTTCTTCTGCGAAAAATATTCCCGGTACTCTGGTTATCAGGTCTTGATTGTTGACTATCCGGAGTACTTTGACTTTCTTCCTGTTTATACGATCCGCGAACCCTTTGTTCCCCACCCGCGGCCCGCCGAATGAAAATACCGCCACCGGCGGTGCTTCACTTGTGCACCCGCTCAATTCCTCCGCTACTAACACCGCTAACGCCGCTCCGAGACTGTGACCTGTCACCGTTATGCTTAACGTCTCCCCTTTGTATAACTCCGTTAACCGTCTAATTTCTTCTACCACGGATTCCGCTAAGCTCGCAACGTGATCTCCACGTGTCTTGTACAAACTCTGGAATCCGCATTCCACTTTTGCGTTTTGCGTGTTGTCGTCCTCCGTTTTGGGAATGTCAACTAACTGGGCTCTCAAATTCTCGGCCCATTCTAGACACGTGGAGGTTCCTCGTAGCGCGATCACAATATCCCTCCTTCCCATCCGTTGGATCTCTTTTTTGTCATCGGAAACTGCTACATACCCGATCCAGCTTGATCGTTGGGTCATCCACCCGAGATCCGGCGCCACCTTGTCCACCCACTTGGGTAACCCGACGGAGGATGTAGCGTAGAGACTCTTTGTTACTTTGTAGGACCTATCGGGTAACGCCACGTGTCTGGGCAAGGGAGCTTCGTCTGCTGACATGCCTGGAGAAGAGTGGAAGGCATGGTAAGCGGCTTGAACGAATTCCCCATACCTGACCACTTCCCTCCGGAGGTTCTCGTCGAGCGGGTCGAGTAACCCGGCCCAGTCATTGCAGCCGTGATACTGGCGCCACCGGGAGCCAAGACTGTTCCTGGGAGAATACTCCGGCGTCTTGGATAAAAGCCGTTGAAGCCGGTTAAGGTGTCTGGGAGACATCTCCTCGGCGGCTTTCATTTCCGGCCAAATTCTCTCCAGGTTTAAGCCTTCAAACGAGGCCCTAGATTTCTTGTTGGAAAAACTAACGGGGGGAAGTAGATCATGCTGGTTTGAGTCTGGAGCTTGCTTTTGAAGCAACTTCTCGAGGTTAGAGAGGTGTAGCTTGGTCAACTCAGTGGAGGTAATTGACTTGTGAGAACGCAGAGAGAAAGAAGCGGAAGAGAGAGGCTTATTCGTGAAAGGGTTTAACGGCGATTGCTGACATCTGAAAGTGGATCTCCTCGCCTGAAAGATGTTGAGGTTATGAGCCGGAAGCGTAGAGCTAATCTGCATGGAGAGAGATAAGAGAGAGAAGAAAATAGAACACAGAGAAAAATTGAAACCAACTGTGATTGAAAAGATGAGAGGAGGTATATATAGACGAAGATGGGTTGATAAACAAATAAATAAAATATTATATTATCAATCTTTCGTTTTCAGTCTATACGCGTTGGAGTTCGTGTTCGCGTTCGGGTTGTCGCTTTTGTTTACTGCAACAAATTTAATAATCAATAAAAGAAAGTAATTAAACAAAATATTTTGTTTGAGTTTCAAGAAAAGTCTGCTATGTCGTTTTTAGCCTTTTTATCACACTTGAATTGACCCAATCACATCTTTCTCGTCTAATTT